ATGCATCCGGGGCCTGGTTTCTTGGGTTCATCTCATTTTTCCCCTCTTGTTGTGGGGTAACCCCTGCCCACCTTCTGAACTGAGCCCCCTCCCACAGAAACTGGCTGCTGCCCCGTCACAGAACTGGCCAAGCTGCCTTGGCTCTCTGCCTCACCCAGCCAGGGCAGGGCCCGTAGTCTGTGCCCCAGCATGCTGCCTGGCAGAGTAGCTGGGGAGCAGTGAGTAAGAGCACAGCTTCCAGCACGAGGTAAAACCCTGACATTGCCCTGTACTGGCTGTGTGACCTTGAGCAAGTCACTCTACCTCTCTGTGCCTCAGTTTCTTCATGTGTAAAATAGAAAGCGGTGATAACTAGTACTCAATGCTGTCCCAAATACTAAATTCGATAATGCTCGTAAGGTCCTTTGCGTAGTGCCTGAGTGCTGGTATTGCCCAGGGCTCCCCACTAGAGGCGAGCTGATTTACAGGCCCTTTCTTCAAACGGCTAAAGATACCAATATCGCCACCTGCTGGCTTCTGAGGGAAATGCGTCTGTGGGCTCTGGAGAAAGAAGTACGGGTACCCCCCGCTTTTCGAAAGTTCACTTTCTGCCACTTTGCATTTACGAGCAGAAAGTCCTGCATTAGTATCTGCTTTCACTAATCGAAAGAAATCCTAAGAGGATTTTTGTTTGTATGAAAAAAGGCAAAAAGGGAAAACAGCTTATTGCTTCTTCGCTTTATGCCATTTTGTCTTATGAAAGGTTTCATAGGAATGCTCTACTTTTGGATACCGGGTGAAACATACTCCCTCCGCCTCTCCTGTCTCTCTCCATCTTTTAGTTGGATGAGTTGCACACTCTTTGGCACAGGCCACTGTCAGTCGTGTTCCCGCGGGCAGCTGGGGCTGCACTGGATGAGTTTTCCTGGCCTTCGAAACCTCTTAGCCTAGCTGTGAACTTCAGACTGGACTAGAGCCTTCTGTGGTTAAGGGTCTGGGGAAGTGGCGGTGCTGGTGGGGGTTTCAGGGGAGAGAGGCTGCAAGGCTCCTGTGTAAAGTTGCTGCGGCTGCCATAACAAGGCATCAGAGACTGTGTGGATTAAACAACAGAGGTTCATCTTCACAGTTTTGGAGGCCGGAAGTCCTAATACAAAATTTCGGCAGTGCTCCCTCTAAAGGTTCTGGGGAGCATCTGTTCTAGAATTTTCTCTTAGCTTCTGGTATTGCCGGCAATCCTTGCTGCTTCCTAGCTCTTAGATGCATCACTCCAATCTCGGCCTTTGCCTTTGCACGGCCGTCCTCCCTCTCATTGCTGTGTCCAAATGCTCACTTTTTATAACGACATCAGTCATAGTGGATTAGGATCCACCGTACTCCAGCATGGCCTTATCTTAATTAACTACGTCTGCAATGACCCAATCAGGTCACATTCACAGACACCAAGGGTTAGTACTTCAGCATATCATTTGGGGAGGACACAACGCAACCCATAACAGCCCCTCTGGAAGAGCTTCCATTCGTCCTAGGTCTTTAAGAAGCAACCGCTCAGGGGAATGACAGTGGAGGAGGGTGTTGAGGGAGAGATGCCAGCTTGGGCAGGCCGAGGCAACGCTTTGTTCCTAATTCCTCTCTGACATAACAAGAAACTGCAGTGAGAAAGTATGTTTTACTCGCGTGTGATATCCCCACGTGGAGCGTGTTGCTGCTCCCTGGCACCACGTGCTTTCGATGGGGGCAGGGAGGGCAGGTGGCCCGGGGCTTGTTGCTGTCATCATAACTGTCATGGGAAGAGACTGGCGGAGATCAGAGCTGCTTGCGTGGACCGGTCCCTGTCCTGGCTTTCATGTGAGGGGAGGCCCTGCTCCTGGCAGCCCTGCCGTTTCACTCTGGTCATCTCCAGTGTCCCCAGGAGTGGCAGAGATGAACATCCCACTGACCTGGCCCTCCACGGGCTCCTAGTCTACACTGGAGTCAGCTGCCAGGGTCAACACCCAGACTCACCTGCCTTCACCCTGGCTCCCCCAATCCCTCCTCCTCCTGGGAGTCTGGAGTGGCCTTTCTAAAGTGCCAGTCTGATCATGTCAAGCCCCTCCCCCTCCCCTGTTTAAGCCCATCCTGCCGCTTCCCTTTGCTGTACCGTATCTGGTCTCGGCATTTAAGACACCTACCAGTCTGCAGCTCCCCCTAACCCATCTTCCTCCAGCTGGGCTGGGGGCTTCACCAGGGTAGGCCTGGGGCTCACCCCCACCTGTACGCCAGTGCCCACTCCAGTGCCTGGGGGTAACCAAAGGAAGAAATGAGTGGCTGTAAAGTGACCTGGGCTGGGTTTTGAAAGATGGCTGAAGCCTCACTCTGTGGACCTGGAGAGCGATGTGTGCGGTCACCTGTGGGCCAGGCTTTGAGTACAGGAACCCTCAAAGGGGCCCTCTGAGTGCTGAGAATGTCCAATCCTGTGTGGGCTCGCAGGCACTTGTCTTCATCCCCCAGACTCCGCCATCCCTCTCCCACTGGCTCTCATTCCAATTTGGCCTTTACGTTTCCTGGGCATCTTGTTCGCCATCACTTCGCATCAGCCCACGAACCCAGAACTCTCGCTGGCCTCACACATAGCCGCTTTGGATGCTCCAGTGAGGTGACAGGCAGGGCTTGTGGCGGTAGCTACAGAGTGTTGGGGCCAGGTGCTTCCATTTCCACCCACAAGGCCCCTTGCTGTGCCTGAAGGGGGGTGGACTTGAGGGTGGGAGACTGGTGAAGGGGTCCTTCACTCCCCTTCCTCTGGAGCCTGGAGGCCAGTAGGCCAAGGTCAGCTGCAGCACCAGGAAGGCTCAAGGCTAAAGAGGAGACAAGAAGGACGTGTCCTCCTGCACTAGCTAGGAGGCGCCCAAGGGCGAACGCCCTCGGACGCCCAGAAATCATGGGGAGACTTTTCTTACCAGCAACTCTGGCTCTCTCTTTTGGCCACAGCGCAAGAGGTGAGGAAATCGTCCGCCTGCAGATCATGACGCCCGGGGTGGGACTCCGCCTGATGGCCCCAGACCTGGAAGGAATGAGGTATGGGTGCCCTGCTCCTTCCACGACATTTTAGAGACGGGGTCAGCAAGGCAGGCAGGCAAATGATGAGTGCTGTTTCGTGGGAGACATGGTGAACTCGGGGTCTCTGCCCCCATCTCCTTTCACTCCACAGCTCTTGGGGAGGGAGGGCTTGGTCTGTGGGAGGCCCGGCCCGTGGACCCAGCGGCGACCGCCCCCCTGGCCAGAGTTGCTGACTGTCTGCCTGGTGGGAGAGGCAGACGCAGACATGAGCCAGCTGTGAGGGCTCGGCCCTGCCGAGCCCTGAGGATAAGACAGCCAGCTGTGCTGGGTGGGGACACAGGGTCTGCGGAGTCCCATGACATCACTGGAGCAGTTGCCCCGCCTGTGTGAGGGAGCCACCAGGACTAGGGTGGGGTCACTGGGTCAGCCTTGACAGCTCATGATGCCACCATGCCTGGTGCTGGGGAGGGCGAGGGACAAGGGGCCACAACCAGCCAGGAACATGGCAGGCGCAGCCCGAGCCCCGGGGAAGTGGGCAGATGGCGAGGTCACAGGCAGGCAAGTTTGGGGGGCTGGGCAAGAGAATATTTGAGCAGAGAGGGGTGAGCCGAGGGATGGATGCCTCCCTTCCTCTCTGCAGCAGCCTCTCTCTTGCTCATTCAGCTATTCACCCAACTAGCATTTACTGAGCCCCTGCTACACACCTGACCCCCGTGCCAGGGCCTGGGAGGCGGTGGTGAAGCAGCCAGACAAGGACCCTGCCTCGTGAAGCCTGGAGTCTGGGGAGGGAGGCCCGAATGTCTGCCCCAGCTCATCCCTGGGGCAGTGGGAGCGCTGAGCAGCAGCCTTTCAGCAGCCAGGCAATGGGGTGATTAAGGAAGGCTTCTCAGAGGGACTGACACCCAAGATGAGTCTTGACCGATCTCTGGGTCCCTTAACTCTCCTCCTTGTCCCCACCCCAGCCTTGCCCCAGTCATTCTATTTTAGAGATATTTCTGTCCGTCCTGTACTCCTCTGGGACCAGATGTCCACCGTCACTCATGCAGATGCCGACAACTCTCTTCTAGGGCCCTGTCCCTAGACCCTCCTCCACATCTCTACCTAGGTGACATTTCTAAAAGGCAGAAGTACTCATGCCAACCCACTGGGGAAAACCCTGTAATGGTGCTCCCTGTTCAGCCTCTGTAGCCTGAACATGATACCTTGCCCGGGCCTCCCTGTGGCTCCTCTCACATACGGCCCCCCAGACCCTCCACTTGCGCCCCTCAGTCCCAGGCCTCCATGCACCATTCATCTGTGCAGGCTGTAGACTCTGCCCGGAGTGTCCTTTCCTCTCTGCAGTTTTCAGTGCCACCCCAAATGTGT